CTAGCCACCTCTCCAATGGCAGGGTTTTATAATGGGGGATGGTGGTGGAGGAGGAGATCACAACTGGCTGGAGTGAGTGCCACACCCTGCAGGAAGGCATAAAACACAAAACCTGGCTGCTGTGCAATGCCAAGGTTGTTATTCATCACCTGTCCCCAGGAGGGAGAAAAAAACACTTCCCTGTAATTTATGCACATCACCTATGGGTTTAGCCCCACAATGGGAACACCTCCCGTGGCCGGTGGTGCTTGCCAAGTCTTCGGAGGGACCGCAGTTCCCAGATTGTGACATTTGAATGTTTTTCATTCCCCACCACCACCTAAGATAATAATACTATTGTGTTGAGCTGCTTTAAAAAGATGTCTTCCAGCCCTACCATAACAGAGGTTGAGTGTTGTAGATAAACACTGAGGGCTGGGAGCCAGAGGGGGGGAATAAAACTCTGGCTTCTGATTGGGTGAACTGCCGTGATGTCACAGAAGGGGGGCACACGAGGAAGGCAGGGGTGGTAAGACAGGAGTGAACCTGGGCTGTACTCCTTGTAAAGAATAATCCCTCCCCACTTTTTCTTGGTGGTTTCCATTCTTGATGGCAAACTTTCTGGAGCAGGGAGTCCCCGCATGTGTATAATGCATAATCACAATGGGCTTCTTCTGTACGACAGAGAAATAAAAGTTGGGAACGTACAGCAGTAGGTACAGCCTCACATGGGCCCCGTTTGTTCTTCCTGTTCTTTCGACTTGTTGAAATCCGGCTCGCCGCCCAGGTGTGCAACCAGGTGGGTAAACAGAGCGGCTTCAGAGTCCCAAGCCTCCCGCCCCTGCTGGATTACCTGCCTCTTTGAAACTAATACCCTGAATGTCTTAGAGAATAAGCTGTGAGCCACGAAGAAACAGACATTTAGAGAAAAGAGATTCCTTCCAAGTTAATGAATGTTTATATTTAGGTATTTTTCTTCTTTTTTTCCCCCCTTGAAAACAGTCCCAGGTGAGATTCAATATATAGAGAGAGATATATCTCCTTTGCTACTGCAGAAGCTCTAGAATATTCCGACGAAGCTCTGCGCATGCGCCGATTACCATAGTGTGATTCACAGAAGCCACGAAGAATCCCACTTTTGCAATCCTTTTCCACCCATTGTCATGGGTGGGATTATCCCTCACCCCCAGTTGAAACAGACAAAAAAGGGAGGTAAAACAATATGCTTTCTCAAAGATCCTTGGGTTTTCTGCTGTCTAGGATGATCTGTCTGCAGTTCCCATGTATGGATATGTATTTTATACACCGTATTTTCCGTGTATAAGACACTCCCATGTATAAGACGCCCACACTTTTCTAATCCAAAATTTAAAAAAATAAGTGGTGCTTAGCAAGTGTAGGGGGAAAGAGATCAAAGCATTACTTTATATATCTGGATAGGCTCCTTAGAAGGACAAATGACTTTATATATATATTAAAACAACTCAGGGGTCTTTTATATATCTGAATAGGCTCCATAGAAGGACAAAGGACTTTATATATATATATATTAAAACAACTCAGGGGTCTTTTATGTTCCAAGTTAAGACATTGCAAGAAAGAAAGAAAGAAAAACACCCACTTTTTTTCCAATCTGGCGAAGTATTCTTTATTCTATGTCTGTTCTTTTAGCGGTTTTGGATTTTTGTCATGCTTCGCCGTTTCTGATGCAAGCCACCCTGGGAATATTTGCAAAAGCGTGATCTATGTCTTCCTTAAACAAAGATATCCAAGCCTGCCTGCCCCACCCCTGAAAGACAAGAACTTCCTTCTTCCCCCTCTCATAATCTGGCACCTTTAGCAGCAGCTTGAGGTGTTAAAAACCAGCAATGTACCATTGACCTCTATGTACAGTGGATTCAGTTTGAACAGGAAAGCCAAGGCGTCTTCCCCTCTCTGCAAGCCCTGGGGGCTTTGTGCCTGAGGTCGAAGTGAAAAATCCACAGTGCTGTCGGCTCACACTTCCTTTAGGATTGACCGCCAAAGCAACAGATGCTTTGCGTGGGTCAGAGAGAACGGGGCGAGAAGGCAGCAGGAAACACTCTGGGGCTGCCCCAGGCTGGTTGCCAAGGGAAGGTGTGAGGCTGGCAGATGGAGTCAATAGAGGGAAGATCATGGTGGGAGAAGGTGGAGATGTGGGAAGCGCCCCTTTAAACCCTGCCAAGTGTACGAGGAAGGCTGCAATCCAAAAACAGAGACTGCCGCCAAGAAATCAGGAGAAGACAGAGACTCCGAAGGGCAGCCATGAAGGAAGATCATCAAGTGTAAGGATGTGTTGCTGGAGACCCAGACCAAGATCACCATTGAAAAAACTGACAGGAGAAACCTTGATTCATTTGAAATGTGGTGCTGGAGGAGAGCTTTGTAGATACTCTGGACTGCTAGAAAGATGAATAAATGGATCCTAGATCAAGCCTAAACTCTGTCTGGAACCAAAATGTTGAAGTGGAGGCTGTCTTAACTTCGGGCACATCCTGAGAAGGCAGGATTTTCTGGGAAAGACCATCATGCTAGCACAGGTTGAAAGCAGCAGGAAAAGAGGAGGACCAAATACAAATACAAACTCCCTTAAGGAAGCCATGGGGTTAGGTTTTCGAGGGCTCAGTAGGGCAGCTGAGGACAGGATGTGTGAGAGCTTTGTAGATACTCTGGACTACTAGAAAGATGAATAAATGGGTCGTAGATCAAGCCTAAACTCTGTCTGGAACCAAAATGTTGAAGTGGAGGCTGTCTTAACTTCGGGCACATCCTGAGAAGGCAGGATTTTCTGGGAAAGACCATCATGCTAGCACAGGTTGAAAGCAGCAGGAAAAGAGGAGGACCAAATACAAGATGGACCGACTCCCTTAAGGAAGCCATTGGCTTAAATTTTCGAGAACTCAGTAGGGCAGCTGAGGACAGGATGTGTTGGAAAGAGCTTATTCATAGGGTTGCTATAGGTCAGAGGCAACTTGACGGCACATAGAAACAGAAGTGTTATGTCTTCAACAGAATGGCTTTCACCCCATCTGGACTCACAACACAAATGTTAAAGGTCTCTGTTTTTCCCAGCCCTGCCTTTACTGTCCAGATTTAGGGAGAAAGTTTGATGAGCAGAGAGACCTGTAACGTGTACTGTGCCTCTGTAAAGGTGCCCTGTACAACCCTGGGGTTGTAAAAGCCAATAAAATGCCAGTCAATGTTTACAGAGTGTTGCTTTAAAAAGTGGTAGGGCTGTTAGGGACACAACTCTAATTGCGAGATGCAATATGGCTGGACTGAGACTTGACTCGGCAGAAACCTTTGGTGACTTTATGGCTGCCATTTTGAAATCTGATTTTGAGGGATGCTCACCCCATCCAAATCTCAAATCTCATCAAACTAAAACTTAAAACCAACAATATGGATTATTAACCTGCCATAACCCACCGCCCTATATCCTGAGGTTCAGTTTTCAAATAGATACCTGAAAGTATTGGTTTTGATGGCAAAAATAAGAGAATCCTGTGGTGCTTAAAATAAAGGGTTAAATACACTTGTAACACCAGCTAAAGTAGACATGCTGAATGAATTGAATGTCAAGCCTTTTGATGGTTTGGGTCTATGTTAACTGGGATGAATGGATACAGTTCACATGGGGTTGGAGCACACGGACAACACGCTCAGAGTCAGATGCAGTAAATTTGGAAAAAGACAAATACTCTATTAGCAATCATCATTCACTAAAATACTGTTGATTATACAAATACTTTGGCACTATACATGCCATTTCTGGCATGGAATGTGATCAGAAACAATTGCCCCAGTTCAGACCCCTGGTAACAAGAGGAGAATTTCCTAATGAACCATAATTCTCAGTTTCAGTAACTCCTAAAGGCATAACTGGAACTGTGTGTTGTGTTTGTACAACTCATGCGAGGCTATAAAAATAATGGGTGACACCCTGAGCAGATATAAAAGGAAAAACAGATGGGGAGGGAGAAGGAAAATGAACAAACTCAGGCACCAGACTCAGTACAATAGCTGGTGTGAGGGAGAGATGAAATACAGTATATCAAGTGACAATATATGTTTTGGTGAAGTAGGTAGTTGGGGCATGATGCTCAGGACCGGGGTGGTGGGAGTGGTGAGAAGAACATATCTCTGCATTCTTTCCTCTCCCCCAGTTGTCCCTAAAGTTTTTTTTAATTTTTTTAAAATTTGTTTTAAAATTTTTTTAAGGTTTTTTAAAGGTTTTTTTCTTACATATATGAGATTAGTACAAGATCACCCTGTAACCTTATTGCTGGGTCACTATTATTAGTGTTTCCTGTACAGTATTTCTGTTCTATAAAAGGATGGGCAGAGGTGGGACCAGAGGAAGGAAGGAAAGAAGCGGGACTGTGGGCTGGAATGCAAATCACATTGCATCCAGTATGAACAGTGAACTCCCGAATCACTCCACACCCCTTGTGTGAGCAGTGACTGTCATTTCCAACATAATACAGGCTGCGAATCCAATCACAGCAAAGCCGAATCACTCCATTTTGGCTTCCCAGTGTTGACGCGCCCTCATGCACTGCAGCTCTTTAAAAACACCCAAATAAAAATATCATAGTGTGTTGCAATAATACACCAGTGTGTCCCACAAGAGCCATTTCATCTATGACACAGTGGCGAACCTGGGTTTGCCCACAGTGTGCACGCAACAGGAACTCACAACCGTATGCGCCACTCATTTAGCACATTCCCACACTATATTTTCAGGAGAACACTCAAGGCCAAATCATGCGTGAAGGGAAAATCAGACGACCTTTTCAACAACAAGTCAATTTTGTGTGTGTGTGTGTGTGTTTCTCTCCCTTCTTGAAGCTCTGAAAACTCTTGCTACATGCTTGCCTCTGTTTGCTGCCTTAAGCCCTCCAGTGATTCTCATAAAAAAGAATGGGTGTGCCACAATAGGGGGAGGTTTTCCATGTTGGTAAGTGACACTATTAAATTACCTTCCTGTTGGACATGCCCCTTTCTGTCAAAGGTAGCACGGTAGCTGTTATACGGTGGCAAGACCTCAGTGCGAAGGATCTCCGTGAAGCTGTGTCCCGGGGAACAGAGAAAAAACACAAACAAACCATCCAACAGAGTAGGCATTAAAACAAGGTAAAGATATATAATTTTTTTTGCAAACTCGGTTTCATTTCCTCGATATGGAATGCAAAGCCTCCTTCGGTGTAAATTCGTTTGACCCAGGGGCCTTGAATCTGGGCAGACTACGGGGAAACGCTATATCTATTTCATCGTTTAATTTCACATCTCAGCGAAATGGAAATCTGATTATAAAGAAGAAAAAAGGGAGAGCAAAAGAGTCACATAAGGGTTTTATGTGGCACAAGGTTTTTTTTTCCAAACCAAAAGCTGTCTTTCTCACTACTTGCTGGACGAGTGGGATTTGAAGAGAATCCTGTGTTTGCAGGTTCCCTTCGTTTTTCCCTAAAGTTGCCACATTATCTTGATTGCACGGCTCTTCTGCCTTTTAAGCATAGCATGTCAACCTGCCACGAGAGAAGCGCAGATCGCCTTGTGCGATCTTTTGTAGCGTTGAAGCAGGGGGGTCTACATGGGTGGAGCAGCTTTCTTCCTGCCCTGTTGCTGATATATAAACATCAGGAACAAGAAGAGAGGAGAAAAAGGTTGCTGTTAAATCTTTAGAAAGATTAGAAAATAGCGGGTTGTTGTTTTTTGAACAACATGGGGAATCTTGTTTCACAGGCGTTGGGAGAGGAATATCCTTTCCAATGAGCTTTAATGTTTGAACATACTTCCATGACAATCGCTAGGTTTGTCTCCTAGTGCGTTCCTGCTGTATAATTGTTCCGGCTGTCACGCACCAAGTAATTATCTCTGTTCGGTTCGACATGGGTGACTCATGCATAGTGCGGCAAGCGTTCGGTTTAATTTAAAGTTTGATGTTTATCTCAGAAAGGGGTAAATGGTCTATCTGGATTGTCTTTATGGGTTTTTCTTGATGGAGGAGCAATTCCAGAACTCTATGTCATAGGTCAACCAGACACCACGAGTGGCTTTACGTTTTTTTTACAATATGTGGAATTGAGCGCCTACCAAAAAATACAGCTTTAAGGCCTTTCTTTCTGTGAGCAAGTGGCTTCTCCACCTTGTTATTATGACATGTAAAGCAGGCCCAGGAGGAACAGGGTTGTGAATGGCGTTTAGCTTCAAGGTTACCCAACATGGTAAGTCTTTTTTAAAAAAAACAAAACTTGCTAAGCACTAGAATTTGGATTTTCGGCTTTCGAGGCTTATTGCTCCCAGACCCTTTCTCTCCAGCCGACAGGACTATGTGGGCATCAAGATTTGGGGGAGCTGTAGTTTAAAAATAGTCCAAGCTTTGCAAAGGACGTTGACTGTCTGATGTAGAAAAGAGGAAGTCGGATGCATTTATTTAACTTCTTACATGAGAATGTTTCTTGTTTGTTAAAGAAAATATTGACAAAGGGCACATTTAGGCTCATTTTCCCATGTTAGTGATCTGAGCGCAAGGCAGGGCGCCAAGCATCGTCTTCTGGTGTAGATTATTAACTAGTTTTTACCGCGCTACAATAGCCATCCTGGTAAACCTTCCATTGCCAAAAAATGGCTCAACAAAATAAGAGCCACAATGTGTACATGTTTAGGGTGGACAGCGTTGTTTAATCACAAGAGTCCTGGGCCCAGAATCCTTTTGCGCATACCTATCTTGTGAAGGGTCGTCATGGAAGCCGTGGGTGGCATTTCTCTGGCTGGCTGTTGTGCGCTCGGTGGTTCTCTGGTTTTGCCATCAACTGCACAACCAGCAGCTAACGATGCACAAAAGCCACTTCTGTTGCGATGCTTATGTGTACAGTTCTCTGCTATTTGGTTTTGGCCCTAAAGTCATACCATGTTAGAGGTGGAAGGGACCCCAAAGGGTCTAAAACCACCAGAAATGCAGGTAAATCGACAGGTAAAACATCCGTGGCCAACAGCTATCCAAACTGTATCTAAAAACCACCCACCAACTGCGTAACATCTTCGGAACACCTGCACCACTGGTCAGCTCTCAGGAAGTTCTACCTAATGTTTAGTCAGAATCGCCTGGCTTGTAATTTGACTCGTGTGATTGAGAATGGGCACCATCTTTGAGCAGAGGTGGGCAACTGACTACTTGTGTGATTGAGAATGGGCGCCATCTTTGAGCAGAGGTGGGCAACTGACTCTTCAGATACGGTTGGGACTCCCATCAGCTCTAGCCAACATAGTCCGCGGGGAAAGATCGTGGGGTTGCACCATCTTACAGGTCACCAACACCCAGCCGAGGACCCTATGACAATGGTCCTGAGCAGGGATTAACCCTTCCCCCCCAGTTTAGCTTCCTTACAATAATTTACAAAACAACAGCAAAACATGCACATTTCTTTATATTCAGGACCAAAAGCACTAGTTTTTTTGACTGCCAAATCTTTGGTTTTAGCATTGATTCTCTGTGCCTATGATTTTTTTTTAAAATTGAAATCCGGGAAAATTTGAATGGACAAGCAGGTTCCTCCACACCCACATCTCTGAATGTCTCCCTTCTAAAGGTCTGACCTTAAATTCCTGTGTATTCAACCTTGCTCATGCTGATTTAGCATTTCGTAGTTCCTGAGCTATAGGCCTCTCGTGTGATCGTTTAAGGAAAGCCTTCTGTTCACAGCAATAGGGAAAATGCAATATGGAGACCAGTCACCTATTGTGGATTTACATTGCTGAGATTTATAGAAAGATACGGTGGGAGGGGGACGTTGGTAGTGTGATACATGTTGAACTGGAGGAACCCCTCACGTGGAAAAAGCAGAATGCAGAAGCCCTGCCCACATAGCTGTCATCTGGGCAGGATCAATGGGGGTGTGTGCATGTAAGGATCGCGTATAAGGATCCTGCCCACATGATGGCACACCTACAGAAGGGTGAACCCGTGTTTTGTGTCTGGCATTGAAAAGGATCCATAGCCATATATCAGAACGCATGCTTTGCATTCAGAAAGTTCATTCTCTAGATCAGGCTGGAAAAATTCTTCCCTGAATCCCTGGGGAGCAGCTGCCGGTCAGAGTTGTCCATGGACCAAGATTCTGATTCAGTATAAGGTGGTGTCGTATGTTTCTCTTGCTCCTCTTAATATTGAAGGTGTATTTAAATATAAAACCCAACTTGGGCAAGCTCTGTTTGTTTATTTCCAGCAGCAGACTCTGGTTTGTAGAGCTTTGAATGTTCCTTTCAAAAGGAATAAGCAAGCGTTGCGCGAAATCTGCCTGATCGAGTGTGTAACTGAATAAAGGGCACACAGATAGATCCTTATCTCATAGCTCATAAACTGAAAGGTGCAACCAGAACAACGGGTCTCTGCAGAGCTGAGCATTCTTATTTTATGTTTATTTCCCCTCCTTTTTTTTTAAGCCAGCAGAGAGAACAGTTCCTATCTCCCAGCTACTGGGAAGGGAGTGAGGGAAGGACTTTAAAAGGGTAAAGGGCACAGTTGCATTGGAATCCTTCTTAAAAGGGCAATGCAGGAAGCCTTCTGCTCTACACTTTCCTTCCTTTCTCTCTTCCCTAACTTTTCCTTTTCCCTGGATCTAAAATCCATGGTGCTGGGGCTACAGACTTTGATGATTCGCTCAAAGACTTTGCAGCAGGAAAAGAAAGTGACGTTTATTTCTAAAATAACGAGCACAGTCCTTTTCATCTGGCTAAGATTTTCTTTCTCTTCCCCCACTTCTAATCCCAATATGTGAATGTCTCGTGTAACACAAGGGATCCATGAGTGTGGCCTGGTAATGCCTCCACCGTCTTTCCTTCACCCCCATTGATCCTGCCCAGATGGTCAGCCCAGAAAAGCTCCCATACACCAATGCTGTTCATTTTTGCATATTTCTCTTTAGCCAGTGCCCACCTTTCGAATGAATATAGTGAAGAGAGTTGAGTTCCTGTGATTCAAACCAGGCAAATGTGTGCTTGCTTGTACTGTAGTTCCCAGAATCCAACCAGGCGGATTCTTTTTCTCGGCACCGTCGTCCAAAAATCAAATATTTCCCATTTCTTGTGGCTGCCTTCATTCTTGTTTAAAAAATAAATTTCCAAGCCCAGCGTTTTCATGATGAACACGCTGGAGCTCTTCATGAAGGAACAGTGGTAGGATGATGGTTTGAGTCCCAGGGCATCATTCAAACAACACTCAGTCGTAGGAGGCACTGGTGCATCATTCTAGTCATTTTTTCTAAGTTTTGCTGGCTTGTTTTTGCTTTGAGTAAACCCTGGAGAGAAGCAATTAGTGCTGCCCTTTCTAGTGTGTTATTAGCAGACAAAATTAGCTGGAGATTTTCTTTCTTTCTTTCTTTCTCTCTTTCTTTCTTTCTTTCTTTCTCTCTTTCTTTCTTTCTTTCTTTCTCTCTTTCTTTCTTTCTTTCTTTCTCTCTTTCTTTCTTTCTTTCTTTCTCTCTTTCTTTCTTTCTTTCTTTCTCTCTTTCTTTCTTTCTTTCTTTCTTCCTTCCTTCCTTCCTTCCTCCCTCCCTCCCTTCCTTCCTTCCTTCCTCTTTTTCTTTCTTCCTCCTTTTTCTTTCTTTATTTCTTTCTCCTCTTTTTCTTCCTTCCTTCCTTCCTTCCTTCCTCCCTCCCTCCCTTCCTTCCTTCCTTCCTCTTTTTCTTTCTTCCTCCTTTTTCTTTCTTTATTTCTTTCTCCTCTTTTTCTTCCTTCCTTCCTCCTCTTTTTCTTTCTTTCTTTCTTTCTTTCTTTCTTTCTTTCTTTCTTTCTTTCTTTCTTTCTTTCTTTCTTTCTTCCTCCTCTTTTTCTTTCTTTCTTTCTTTCTTTCTTTCTTTCTTTCTTTCTTTCTTTCTTTCTTTCTTTCTTTCTTTCTTTCTTTCTTTCTTTCTTTCTTTCTTTCTTTCTTTCTTTCTTTCTTTCTTTCTTCCTTCCTCCTCTTTTTCTTTCTTTCTTTCTTTCTCCTCTTTTCCTTCCTTCCTTCCTTCCTTCCTTCCTTCCTTCCTTCCTTCCTTCCTTCCTTCCTTCCTTCCTTCCTTTCTCAGCACTGCCTGACGTAGCTCTCCTATTAGCTAGCAATTTGATGGTAACGGTTGCTAAAGCTTCCCAGGTG